CTTTAAGCTCGCACCAGCATCAGACTCCGACAACACCATTGATGGCACATGGGTTCGGAAATGGGCAGATCGTTCAAAAGGACTGGTGAAAAGCAGATGCTGTGGACGAGGCTTTCTCGATCGACAGAAGAATAGCATTGACAGACACAGCTCGACAGCGTCGCGACTTTCTCACCGCTTGGCAGTATCTCTTGCAGCTCAGTACGACCTCGTGATTGAGAGTCTAGATATCAGCACGGCCTTCTTACAGGGCCTCAAGTTTTCTGAAGTTGTACGCCGGGCAGCGGAGTTGGGACACGAAGTTAAGCAGCTTCGGAAGGTCTGGTTCAAGCCACCTCCAAACGTTTGGAGACATCTCCGTAACATCGAGGGCAGTGGCATCTATGTGCAGGACCAGGACATAGTCTACTTCGTGCTCGAACTATTGAAGGCCATGTACGGACTTGTGGATGGTCCTCTCTTATGGCAGCTGGCATTGGCGAACTTCATGGTCAAAGAGCTGAGCTTCATGAGCGCCTACCATGATGAGAACTTCTTCTACATCACCCGCGGATGGGAGATAGTGGCTATCTACATCACTCACGTTGACGACATCCTGACGATCGCGTCTCAGAGCTTCTTGGACAGGACCTACATACGATTGTCAGAGCGTTTTGGCACAGTCAAGAGGTGCGTTCTTCCATTGATATATGTCGGAGTTCGCCACTCTATGCCATCACCTGGACATTACTTCCTGGACCAAGAGCACTACTTGATGAAGCTGACTCCAGCGAAGGCAAGCGACACCAAGCGACTCAAGAATGACAGCCTTCCGTTGAATAAGGATGAACACAAGGAGTTCCGTTCATTGTTGTGCAGTCTCTTGTGGGTTTGTTTGACTCGTGTGGATCTATGCCATGGAGTTGTACTTCTGCAGAGCGAGATGGTCAGCCCTCTGATGACACACCTGAAGCAGTGCAATGCCCTGTTGGCCCGCGCTGTCAAGAGCAAAACGATGAATGGACTTCACTTTCACAAGCTACAGTGGCCTCTACGACTGGTATCCATCACGGACGCAGGACACGCATCAAAGAGGTCAGGTTACCCTTTCGAGGGCAAGATCGTTGAACTCATGAGCGAGCCCAAGGTGCAGTATGACAATAAAGAATGGTGGCCTGTGACAGAGGCCCGAGATTTTGGAGGATATGGCCACACTCTGTATTTCACCGCAAGGAAGGCATCACGAGTGAGCCACAGCACCTCCCATGCTGAGACGAACGCATGTGTTGGTGGACTCCAGGTGGCACAACTTATCTCATCAAGAATGACGGAGTTGTTTTCTATGCAGATCACTGGTTCCCCGGCAAGACCTCGACAACTTCTCATGTTGGAACAAGATAATGTGTTACTAATCCCATGTGATGCAGTGACAGATTGCATGGACCTCTTCGAGTTGATCACGGGAGCCAGAGGACTGACAACAGATAAAACTCAGAGGATATCAGTGATGTCCCTCAGAGAGGATCGTTTGACAGGAAGGTTTCGTAGAGTGACTCATGTACCGACATCAAGTATGTTGGCCGACGGACTGACGAAGCTTGGAGTTTTCCCGCAGTTACTAATGAAGTGTACGACAGGATTGTGGAAATTGCAAGTACAGGATAACAAGTTCATCAGGATCAAGCCCAGCGTGACCAAGCCGGACTACAGCGAGCAGGATTTATTGGACAGTGATGATCTACGGCATGACAAGTACCTGAAGATCGACGACGACATCTACGAGAAGATGATGATGATGTGTGAGGCCGGGATCGCTCCACGCTCCGCTTTCTGATTCTAAGTAGTCAAGAGAACGGGTAGCAGAGTAAAGATATGGGTGTACAGACCTCGTTAGACTACTGTTAGTTGTGTTTCACGTAGTAAGCTTAGAGCAAGCATGGATAGATGAGCAGTGAACGTATGTCACGTACTGGCTCAAGTCTGAGAAACCAACTTCCCCGGGCAAAACCCCCCCCTGCCCTAACCCCTCCCCCCCCCCTCCCCCTCGAAAACGGGGGGGGGTCACTACCGGTTCGAACCCCCCCCCCCCCCCCCCCTCGAAAACCGGAGGGGGGGGTCACTACCGGTTCGAACCCCTCCCCACCCCCCCCACTCACCGCCAGCAAACGACTCCCGGTCCCTACCACCGTCCGCATCACATCCCCCACTGTTGTTCCCAGCACCACTGTCCTCACCACCACTGTCCCCACTGGTTCCACCACCGTCCCTACTGTCCCCACCAGTGCCCCCACCACTGTCGCACTGTCCCCACTGTCCCCGCCACTGTTCCCACCACGTTTCCACTCTCCCCACTTTCTCCACGGCCCCATCCACTGCCCGACTATCCCCACTGTCCCACTGACTCTTCCGCTGTCCCACTGAGCTGTCCCACTGTTCCCACCACTGTCCCCACCACTGTCCCCACTGTACCTCTGTCCAATTGTCCCGCCGCCGTCCTCGCCACCGCCTTCACCACTGTCCTCACCACCACTGTACCCTCCACTGTCCCACTGTTTCCACCTCATTCCCACTGTCCCCACACCACTGTCCCCACCACCACCGTCCCCACCACTGCCCACTGTCCCCACTGTTCCCACCATTGTCCTCACCACTGTCCCCACCACTACTGTCCCCACCACTGTCCCACTGTCCCCACCACTGTCCCGCTGTCCCCTCACCGCTGTCCCCACCACCACCGTCCCCACCACTGTCCGCAACCCCACTCGGTTTTCGAGGGGGGGTGGGGGGTTCGAACCGGTAGTGACCCCACCGGTTTTCGAGGAGGGGGGGGGGTTCGAACCCCCGGTAGTGACCCTCCCCCCTTTTCATGATGAGCTGGGGGGGGGGGGGGGAGGGGTTCGAACCGGTAGTGACCCCCCGGTTTTCCGGAAGGGGGGTTGGTGGGTGGGGTTCGAACCGGTAGTGACCCCCCCTGGTTTTCCGCCAGCAGCGGTAGAACACGCTCTTTCCGAGAAAACGACGCAGGGTCAGAGAAAACGAGACCACCACCCAGGGGCCGAGACAACGAGAAAAAGAAGTACTAACCAGCGTCAACGTCCGAGAAAACAAAACCACGACCCAAGGGCCGAGAAAACGAGAAAACGAGAAAACGAAGCAGGGTCCGAGAAAACTAGACCACGACCCAGGCGCCGAGAACACGAGAAAACGAGAACACGAACCAGGGTCGAAGAAAACGAGAACGAGACCCAGGAGCTAAAACACAAGAAAAAACAAAAAAACGAACCAGGGGCCGAGAAAAATTGGATGACGATACAAGGAATCAGGGCCCGAGACAACGAGACTACGAACCAGGGGCCGAGAAAAGAAGAAAACAAGAAACGAACCAGGGGCCGACGTTATTCTCCAATGCGTTCTCTAGCGCCGCGGTGCGCACCTGTCGTCAGGGATTCCGCCATTTTGCCGGAGCCCCGGAAGGGAGGGGGGCGGAGGTATCTTCGGAACCCCCCCTCTTTGCAAAGGAGGGGGGAGGGGGGTAGCTTGAAGCCGCCCCCCCCCTGTGTCCAGACCCAAAAAAGAAGGAGAGGGGGGTAGCTTCCGAAGTCCCCCCCCCTTTGAAAGGGAAGCCCGGGCTCACCTTCTGTTCTGGAAAAACGAGGGGAGGGGGGAGATAGCTTCGAAGCCCCCCCCCTTTAGCCAGGGCCCCCCCAGCTCAAAAATGCTTCCAACAGGCGGTTTAGTTTCTGCAGGCAGACGAAGACCGCGTGCACAGTTTCCACGCACGCCCAATGTTTGAGACGAGTTCTAAGAATTCCTAGCGCATATGTTTCACGAGTGTCTAATAGAGAGGTTCTGGAGCGAGCAGGGGAACATCCATTGAGGCCAAACAGCGTTGTACAAGAAAATCGCAGCACTGCCTGGAGATAGCCCTCTCAGATTTTTAACTTGCCAGCCTGGCACTGACCTGCCGAGAAGATGGGCGCACCGGCGACGCAGGGAAGGCCCAAACAGCAGTGGGCCCCTTGCGTGCATAATCTTCTGCCAACGCATTCGCTTTCAGTTTTTGTTCTCGTTCCCCTCCCTGTTTTCCTCCTCCTCCTCCTTCGTCCTGCTGCTTCCCCCTCCTTCCGCGGAGTGATTCCATGAACTTTTATCCGTCGATGCGCCGTATGAGCGCACGGCTTGACTGACTGATCCTCTTGAGTGTTGTGCCGAAATGGGCGCGACAGCACCATGCGGTCTCACCCACTGGAGCCGTGTTGTGCCCCTTGGTGGGCATGCTTCGCTTGAGGGGAGTGCCAATGGGCGCGGCGGCTCCATGCGGACGCACCCACCGGAGCCGTTGGTGAGGCTTCCTACAGGGCACGACCTGCGCGAGGGGTGCGCTGAAGTGAGCGCAGCTGCAGCGGCAGAAAGGGGGGGATGGAGGAGAGGAGGACAACAGTCCAAAGACAGCTCCAGACGGCCCAACGACAGCTCCAGCAAGACCCTTCCAGATGACCACGAGGTGTGTGTGTTGCCGAGCCTCCTGTGTGGGTACAGTCAAGCTGCTACCATAAGGAACGTGAAATAATGAATTAAGCCCCTTCGTGGCTGGAAAAGCGCCAGTGTGCACGAGGAACGCTAGAGGAACAACCATGGAAGGACCCGAGAAACAATAAGCTCCTTCCGAACGCAATCTGTTCCTTGATTCGGCATCTTGGCTGTATTCGCAGGGCCCTCGCGCCCCGAACGGCCCAGAAGCGTCCTGGGGGGAGGGGGAGAGCCACAGAGGTCAGCTGAGCCATGTCTGGACCATCGCGGAAACATGCCAGGAGCAAGCAAAGGTGTGGTGGACCCATGTAGAAACAACATCCTCTGGATGCATCTCCCTGCTGCGCTGGCGGCTGCAGGGCTTGCCGATAGCGGCTGCGCGCTTGCCGCAAGAATCACCCGGAAACTCCCGTGGGAGCGCAGAACGCTGCGCCGCGGGAGCCTGTGAGTCTGACGGCGAGGCGCCGCGGCAGCCGCACCATGCCACGCTGCTAGATGACGAAGCCCGAATCCGCCCGCTCGAGCATGGGGGGGTCCGTGAGCACCGCACTGTCGTGCTGGGGCGGCGGTTCCTCGTCGTCGTCCGTGCTCTCCACGAAGGGCACCGGGGCAGGCGTGGAGGCGACGCGGAGCCTGGATTCGCTGCGGTCCATGTCGAAGCTGAGGCCCCACAGGCGGGAGACCGGGCGCACAGCCGCGTGGAAGAGGACGTAGAAGGCGAGCAGCCTCTCCGCGGCAGCAACGCGCGTCTCGTAGATACCCTCCATGTAGCTGAGGTTGAGGATCAGGTCCCTGCCACTCGCTGCTTTTCCCTCCCTGTCTTCGGACCCCAGGTGCTCGCCGATGACGACAGCCTTGCTGCCCTCGCGGTCCCCCATGGTGACCTTCTTCACGACGCTGTCCCACAGCTTCGTATTGTGGGGGCTGTTCTCGGTGTCGACCGAGTGCGGGCTGGTGCTCCTGGTCCAGCTCAAAATCTTGCTCGGGCTGTACATGCCCGCGCTGTAGGCCTTGACCGGGCTGACGGTCTTCAAGATCTTCATCGCCGTGGAGGGCCCCACCCTGCGGGCCCTCGCGGCCTCCGCGAGCTCCCTCCAGACTTCGAAGCACTTGCGAGTCGCGTGCATCGCGAGGGGCAGCCAGGAGTACCGCATCATCCACTGGCGCCTGCGCTGTCGGTACTCCTCCTGCGTCCTGCTTACCAGCCTGGAACATATCCCTATCCCTATGCTGGGCACCTCCTCATCACGATGCCAATCTTAGGGATTCCCTTCTCTTTTGAGGGCGCATCCCTGAGATTGCCATCGCCTCTTGGCGTGTCAATTTTAGGGATAGGGATAAGTTCGAGGCTGGTAACCTGTGGACAGAACACCGCATGCACTCATAACGTAGGGGGCCACAAAAATAGTCCCCGGGCTATTTTCGGAGCTTTTTGTTTGATCATTCTTTAAACAATATTTTTATTGTTCGTCGAAAATCCCCCTGTAGGGGGACAGGCCCGACTTAAGCCAAGAAGTCCGCGCGGGCCTCGGGAAGTTGATGTGCCTGCACGTGTTTCGTCTTCGAGTCCTCCACGCCGCCGCCCGTGGCGGCAGCACGACGGACGAGGCCTTCGCCCTGTCCGCCGCCACCTTGGCCATGTAGGAGGTGACGCGCTGCTCGCGCTCCTTGGACCTCCGTGCCGCCAGGTGGGCCCACGCCTCATAGCAGTCCTTCAGCGCGAGCTGGCAGGAGGGCGACAGGTCGCAGTCACTGAGCTTGGCCCGGGACCTCCTCTGCCTGCTCAGCCGCATGTCGGCAATGATCGTCTCCATCTGTCGGCCGCGCAGCACTGCCATGATCGTCGAGGCGGTGAACTTGATCTTGCGACTGCCCTTCGTAGGGGCTCGCATCACCGAGTCTGACACGAGCGACCGACTTCGCACTAAGTCGGTTTCGGAGCGCGAGCGGTCGAACTGCAGATGATGCGCTGAGGGACTCCTGGGAATTGTCGGGTCCTGCTGGGGGTAGAGACTCGAACCAGTAGGGCTTAGCTTAGCGAGTGCCGTGAGACCGCGCCGCGAGAGCGAGGAGTATACAAATTCTTTGCTGGCGTTCAAGCTCGCGAGATGTGCGGCCACATCCGCGTTGATAACCTTGGCAACGTCGAAGTCCTCAGGGTCGATTCCCAAGGCATCAGAGTGCCCCTTCACGATTGAACTTATGACGTCTTGGGCATCCTCGAGGTCCAACGTCCTCGAAATCATCTCTTGCTGGATGTCCTCGATCCGCACGTCCTGAAAGGCAGCCGCGTTCCCTTTTCGGGTGCCAGCGCTGGACAGGTCCCCCTTGCAGAGGAACAGACAACGCCATAAGCACAACCTCTCGGAGCTCCGCGCGAATTCTTCTGGGACGTGCGCTGGGCCTCTCCCCCCGGCGTGCGCAGCGCGCCAGGGGCGGCGCCGGAGGCGCCGCCGAGGGGGGTCCAGCGCCGATCCAAGAGATCTGCGCGGGCCTCCGAAGCTGTGTGTGCTTATGCGTGCTGTTCTTCTTCGGCCTTGGCAAGCATGGCAACCCCATGCATCACGTCCGCAGGCGCGTGCCCGCCGGTGGCGCTGTGCAGCAGCTGCTGGGAGTAGAACGCGGGCCTGTGCTCGGAGGACAGCGTCACGGACCTCTCGAAGAGCCCAGGCTTCGTCCAAGGGTTGTGCCCGACAGACACCACCTTCGGCGGTGGACAAGCCTCCCTTCAGTACACCTCTCCTTCGTGAAAACGGCCTGGGACCGAAACCGACGGACCTGGACCCGCAAAAGCGACGGCCGGGGCGCCCTCTCGCGAACCGAAAACGGCCAATTCCTTAGTCGACGTGTCGAGGCAGGCGACCTGTCCACCCCCCGACACTTAAGTCGGGCGTGTCCCCCTACAGGAGGATTCTCGACGCAAAATGAAAAGTACTCCAGAAGTGCTCCAACATGGCCAAAACATGCTCCAAAAATGGCCCCCAGACTCTTCCTGGACTATTTTTGAAATATTCCCCCCTGTAGAGGGACAGGCCCGACTCAACCCGACACCTCGACGCCGGTGCACGGGTTCGCGGCGATGAAGCGCGCCTGCTGCAGCGACATGATGCTGGCGGCCTCCATGGAGGCCAGCGTCCCGAGGCGGCCGTCGGCACGGCCGGCGAAGACCACCACCTCGGACGTGGTCAGGTGGGTCATCTCGTGCACAAAGTGGTCCTCTCGGCTGCACTTCAGTCGGGCCTGTCTCCCTGCAGGGGGATTTTCGACGAGAAAGAAAACAAATACCCCAGAAATGCCCCCAAATGGTCGGAAAATACTCCAAAAATCGTCCCCCGACTATTTTTGGACTATCTTTGGGGTATTTTTTATCTTTCGTCGAAAATTTCCCTGTAGGGGGACAGGCCCGACTTACGGCTACACGCAGGAGCGACCCTGGGTAAGAGTGACCTCTGGTGCGCGGCTCTTTGGGGGGGGCCGCGGGGGGACCACACCCGGGCGCGCCAGCCGCCGCTCCTGCTCCGTGTTCGGCCATCTGGGGACCCACCTGTGCCCACACCAAGGGTCGCTCCGGCGAAAGGTCATTTAACGGGCGAAGAACGGTATAAAATAAACTTTTTCGCTGTCGGGGGCGCCTTTCCAGCCGCCCAGGGACAGGCGCCCCCGGCAGCGAAAAAGCTTATTGTATACCGTTCTTCGCTCGCTGAGTCATTCTTGCGTCGAGTCGATCCTCCCCGTTCTGCCCAGACACACCGAAGGTTGTGAATCGGAACGCGAGGGCGCGCAGCTTGGACACGTAGGCGCGGAGCAGCTTGTAGTTGACCGTGCAGTCGACTATGACCAGCATCTTCCCGCCATAGCGCACGAAGAGGCGGCGACCTGTCCAGCACCGGTGCACGGTGGCCAGACAAGCACCCATGAAGACATAGAGGTGGGCATCGAGGTGTGCCACGGCGTATCTGACAGCCGCCCACCACCACTCCTCCTCTCGGAGCAGGGCGAATAGAGACAACGGCAGCTCAAAATCGATCCCCGCCGGACCCCTCCCGCGATCCAACCGCATGGGTTTCCAGAGCTGCGTCCAACCGTGGCGACGAGGGACCCCCCCGAAGGCAAAATGCCGCTGTCTCAACTGACCCTGCCCCGATCCTCCTGATCGTCGAAGGCGGCCGTGTCCCCTATGAGAGCCCATGCGCCGCTCAGCAGAGAATACCCCGTCGTCACAGTGATGTACACGTACAGGGCCGACAGCAGCAGGGAATACCACCCTTCCAGCAGGTGGGACGCCAGGTACCCGCCGACGAGCAGGACGCGCGCCCTCACCTCCGAGGGCCTCTCGGCCACAACACCCGTCCGACTCACTCCGCACAGCTCCTCCGGACGAAGAAAACAAGACATGAACGTAAACTCTCGAAGCTCCGCGCGGAGCTCTTAGATCGGCACTGGGCTCCCTTCCCTGGCGCGCAGAGCGCGCCAGGGGCGGCGCCAGAGGTGCCGCCAGGGGGGGGCCCAGCGCCAATCCAAGAAGTCCGCGCGGAGCACCGAGCATTTACGAGAGGGTCGAGATAGTGCACCACCCCCATTTCCGGCAAACCTGGGCTCTGAAGAAGGGGTCGAATTCAAAGTGCAACCCAATTACGAGACGTGCTAGGATCCTGCCCCAGCTCCGCTGCCCAGGAAGGGTAATCAACAGATCACCCCAACCCCACCCTTATACCCCATGCTGCTGCGATCCTCCGCCGCGGGAAGCAGAGATTTCAGCAGGTGCGGCATGCCGCGGACGTCCGCCACGCCGAGCGTAAGGGCCGGCAGTGTGACCTTGGCGAGGCCGTGCAACACCCACTCCTTGCGAGGCGGGGACTTCTCCCTATCCACCGCCTGGGAACCGGCGTCCCGGTGCCCCAGCGGGCGGTGGATATGGATACCTTTTGGCCCCCGGGGAACCGAATATGTCCATATCCACCGCCTGCCGATGCCCCCGAAAACTGACCCTCCAGGCGGTGGACATGGATCAATTCCCGCCTCGGGCTCCTGCGGCGCGCCCGCCTCCTGGAGCGAGCTGGCGCCGTCGGGGCCAACCGAGATGGTGCCCGCGAACACCACCTTGACACGAAGCCAGGGCGAAGCCAAATTCGGACGAGGAAAAACCCGGGGATCTGCAGTCGGGGCGTTGACCTAAGGAACGATGAATAAGGAACGAGGCCATTTTTTCCCATACGCTAAGCTCCGATTCTCCGTGGAAGACCTCCGGAAAACCCAAGGAGCACTGTAAAACAACTAAGGAACACGGAGCCCCTCCCAAACGAAAAGGGTTCCTTCTTCAGCGGCCCGACTGCACTGGCCCAGGTCAATCCAGACCCGGGTCAATCAAACTTTCCAGGATCCTGCGGGATCCTGCACTCGTACCCGGGTCAGTGTGCCCCTGGCCCTACAGGATCCTGCAAGATCGGGCGCTCTGACTCACCTCCGTTTGCATTGACCCCCGTCTCTTAAGTTCAGAAAATCGGGAATCCCTGAGATCTGGCGGCTCTGGAGGATGTATCGGGCGCCGCGATCTTCTCAGAGCTCTGGAACGGACTTATCCTTGTCCCAGGCCCGCCCGGGTCACCTTCAGGCACTCCTCCAGGCATGTGGCATCGAAGGCGTGCATGGACCCGTCTGGGAACGACTCGATCAGCCGAACCCCGTCTTCCGAGGACGAGCCGATGGAGAACGAAGACCTCTGGTGAACCCGCCACCGTGCCTGCACGGTAATGGAGCGTTAGAATGCTTGTAGGTTGTCTGGTGGAGCTCCTGCAGGTTTGCAGAGACCGGCCGCCCCATCCAACGACCGTCGTTCGCAAACCGCCCTTCTGAGCCTGCTTTCTGGCGCCCCTGTCGGCCTCAAGACGGCTCCAAAACGGCCAAAGATCGCCCCAAAACGGCTGCAAGATGCAATCGCCCCAATACGGCCACCAGCGAGCCCCGAAGTGGCAATACTAACGAAAAGTCTACTCGTTGGAAGTCAATGAGCTTTGCTTCTAAGGTTTTTCGATTTCAGGTCACCTCGGGAAGGCTTCTTAGAGCCTTCAGAAACCTCGAAACCTGGCCCAAGTGGTCCCCAAGACGGCTCCAAAATTGCCAAAGAACCCCCAACCCTAAAATGGCCCAAGACAGGCCCAAAAGGGCCTCAAGACAGCCCCAATTTAACCGAGCCTTGTCGGGAGAGCCCGGTATAAACATCGCTCCCAGGAAGGGCCGAGACCCCCGACGGGCTTCAAGAGGCCTCCAAGTGGCTCGAAGAAGCCCTCTTCAAGCCCTCGAGACGCCTTGAAGAGGGGGGAGGGACGGGGTAGGCGGGGGAGGAGTGTGATGATAAGGAAACAGGATAGAGCAAGGAGAAGGCGAAGGAGTAGAGCAAGGCTGCGGACAAGAAGAGGGTGATTAAGACCCCGCGCCAGTTCAGACGAGTCGCTGAACAGGAGCGGGCCTTCAGCTCGACCTCATCCCTGCTGGGATGCTGCGCTGGCATGGTGGTGGGGCTTGCCGCAGGCAGCTGGATATGATCCAGCGGGCCCTCCAGCTGCCACGAGTTCTCCTCGAGGCTGATGGCCACGCCGCGGAAGAACCCCTTCGTCGTGTCGACCCACTTCCCTGTCCAAGGAGGCCTGCTCGAACTCTTCCCCGCCCCGCCGAGAGGCCTGGCCCTCGCAGCTCCGCGGGCCACCGAGCGCGGAAAGGCCGCCGACACCGCCTCGATGGAGGCGTAGAGCAGCCACGACAGCGTGTGGTGCATCGCGAGGGTGGCCACCGTGGAGGGCTCCGACGGGCGCTGCCCGGCCATGGTGCTGAAGAGGCAGCCTGCAAACTCGAGCTTCATGAGGTCCTGTCCGATCGAGTTGGCCAGCACGGTGTCGAAGACGCTTGACCTCAGCGAGCCCTGGATACGGATTCTCCCGATTGCGTTCTGCATGCTACCAGCGTCGCACTTGCTTGTTACAATTGATGTTGGGCATTGGAGTCAACTAGCTTCGCCGCTTCTGCCAAGCTGTCGGCGTCGCTTGTGCTGCTTCTGGCCGCCATTTCTCGTCCGCTCAACCCCCTGGTGCAGATTGAATGTTCCTGGTCCGAATCGTATTCGAACTGGCTGCAAGCGCCCCGCCGACCCAAAAGAGCTCGCAAGCGTTCCTGCCCCTTCTCCCTGTGTCTGTTCCTGTCTCGCGCTCTTCAAATGCTGACATATCCTTCGCTTTCTACCGCCATTGCTGTCTTGTTACATTTGTTTCAGTGCGCCGTTCATGTCCTGCCCATGCTTAAAAGGACAGCACTTCGTAAGCGATACCCAAGAATACAAACAGACAACAATTGGCGAAGGACCCAACCATGAGTAAGTATGAGCGCCGCAAGGCAAGTGAACAGGAGGAGGAGGAGGAGGAAATCAGGGCAACGAAGCGTGTGAACGGTGTGCCGAAATGGGTGTCGGAACCGCTCGCGCCCGCAGCCACTGGGTCCACGAAGCGTGTGATGGCTGCGCCGAAGTGCGAGGGGGCGGAGGCATGCGACCGCAGCCACTGGGGCCGTGAGCGTAGCTCCCTCTGGGTCCACGAAACGCGTGAGGAGCGTGACCAAACGAGCGGGCGCGCGAGGAGTGCGTCAGCATGACATCGAGGACGACGTGTGGTCGCGCCCACTGAGACCTGAAATGTGGCTCCCGCAGGGGCACGGAACGTGTGAGGGGTGTGTGGGCTCGGGGGCGCCAAGCGGTTGCGATCGCTGAGACCGCTGGTGGAGCTCCCTTAGAGGGCACGGGACGTCTGAGGTGTGTGCCGACATGGGCTCGGGGACGCCCTGCGGTCGCGCCCACTGAGACGGTACGTCGAGCTCCCTCAGAGGTGCGGGCCTAACCAGCCTCGAGCGTATCCCTATCCCTAAGATTGACACGCCAAAAGGCGATGACAATCTTAGGGATTCGCCCTCAAAAAATATGGAAAAATAAGGGAATCCCTAAGATTGTCATCGTGATGAGGAGATGCCCAGCATAGGGATAGGGATATGTTCCAGGCTGGTAAGGACCGTGTGAGGGGTTTGTCGAAGTGGGCTCGGGGACGTCTTGCGGCCGCGCCCACTGAGACCATAGGTACAGCTCCCTATGAGGCCACGAAAAATACGAGGCATGATGTTGACTGATTGACTGGCGATGCTGGTGCCGAGGATGATGGCGGTAACGATGATGACGACGACGAGCAGCAGGAGAGGGAAGGGGGGCAGCGGGAGGAACGAGCGCCGAGCGCCGCAGATTCGGAAGGAAAACCCAACACAACAGGACAGTCGGGAACAAGCAAAGCCTGGCCATCGCTCGGACGTCCATTCCCCGTGTTTTCTTCGGTCTCGTGCGTGGTTTTTCCGCCAGATGATCAAGGATGCTCCTCGACGGCCCTCGCCGAGACAAAATGCACACGTCCGAGCGATGCCAGGATAGCCACGAAGACGACTGCACAAAGGCCACCGAGCGCCCGGCATGGCGAAGATGTTGGTGCGCTCGCCGTGCAGGCGGTGCAGGGCGCGCGCGGCCCAGACGGTCGGGTAGGTGGTCCCGCTGTGGCTGACGCCGAGGACCACGGCGCCGGGCGTGAAGCGGAAGGAGAGCCGCGAGATCGCAAAGTTCCTGGGCTCCACATGCCCATGGGCCTCCTGCAGCATGCCGAGCAGCCAGTTAGAGCTCAGGGCCGTGATGTTCAGCATGGGCATTATCTTTTTCAGGTCGGCGGCGAACTGCTGCCCCAGCCACAGGCTGTTCTCGATGCCGAAGACGAGGACGTCAATGGTATCGCTGGCGCCGCCGTCGCGGCTCTTCCTCGCAAGCAGTTCCGAGAGGCACCTGCCGAATCTGCGGCCGCTCTGGTTGTTCAGCGCAGCGCGATCGTTCCAGGAATCCTCGACCTGCTGCAACACGGAGGGCACGTCGTGTAGGTCCTGCGCCACAGGATCCAAGCCCCCCCAGGAGTTGCCCAGCTTGCGGCTTGGTGGCGCGTTGTGCAGCAGCACCCAGCGAGACACGAACGCCTCCTTTGCGAGAGGCCTGCGGGCTGAGTCCAGGCTCACGCCACGGGCGAGAAGGTGGTGGCCCATGACCCTGTCTGTCTCGAGCGCGGGCATCGCGAAGAAGTGGCAGTCGGCGAGTGCGCCGGGGTTCACGAGGGCCCTCAGCTTGGCCACGTGTTCCTCCGCAGTGCCCCCCTGCATGATCTTGAGCTCCACGGCCTCTCCAGCTGCATCGTTGAGGTCCCAGCGTGCTCGCGCCGCTCGGGTCCGCGAGCCGCTGGCATCGGTGAGCGGCCAGCCGACCAGAAGGCTGCTTGGCTCGGAGGACCAGAAAACCAGCGGGCGCGTCTGGTCGATTGCAAGGGAGATCGGCTGGCCCTTGCTGGCGAGCACGATGGACGTGGGCCACAAGGTGCACGAGACCGAGACCCCAAAGGTGCCTTCTGCACGCTGGAAGAAAGACTGCACGGTGCTCAGTAGGTCCATGCGGAAGAAATACTCGCAAGACTTCAGCACAAAATTCCTGAGGTGGACGCCAGTGATACCGTATTTCTCCATGTCTTCCGCGTTTTGTGGCGTCTCGAAGAAGACGATGAGAGCGTCGGCCAATGCCTGCACATTGCCCTGCGTAGGCACGAAACGTCCTTCTTGCGATTGTCTTTGCGCGCTGGTGCTGTCGTTGGTCAGAGCTTCCCTGAAAATGCAGTCGAACAAATTTGCCTAGCGGGCAAAGGACGCGTGCGGCGGGGCATGGTTTGGCGCGTCTGGGGACGGCGCTTCCCAGCCGAAGATCTCGTCGATGTGCTTCGTAACCTCGGTCAAGAAGGCCAGACGCACAGAAGCCAGCCACATGCCTTGACAGAGAAGGAGATCAATCATGCCAGCCATCTTTGGAGAATCTCCGCTCGCGCCATTATTGCAGTGCAGTGCTCGTGCCAGGAAGAGTCCGAGAATGCCATTGGGCACCACCTTGTCGTAGAGCGTCCAGCCGTCGAAATCTCCGTTGTGGGTGATCGTCGTGCATACCTCTAAGAGGCGGCACCTCCACATCCCGTTCTCATCGCACTGCCATACGCGCTCAGAGCGTGGACCCAGCCACTGGTGCGGGTGCGTCTCGACCTCCGCTGGGCTCGAGGAGGTCCCGAACCGAGAGTGGCCCTGGGCGAGCACGACAGGCAAACCTCGAAGCTCCCTGCATCGCAGCAGGCCGAACCGGTACTGCCACCGCAGGCGCGAGCGGAACAGGCTGAAGATTCTGGCGCCCAGTCGACCCCGCTTAGTCTTCAGCGAGCGCGCCATGACCGCCCTCACCTGGTCGCCGCCGTAGCTCAGGAAGGTGTTGACCCCCCCCGCCTGTGCGCCGCGCATCTCCACGATGTCGAGCACGCTCAGCAGGAGGCTCTCGCAGACGCCCGGGAACAGCTCCCTGCTGGCGCCGCCGTCCTGCAGCGCGTCGCGCGGGACCAGGAGGCCCCAGTTGCCGCAGCAGAAGCAGCCTGGCGGGGGCTCGAAGCCCCACGGCAGCCCGCCTGGCAGGTCCGACAGCAAGGAGCCCGCGGCCACCAGCACCGCCCCGGCTAGGACGGAGGCGGCCGCAGGGTCGCCAGCGTCCAGGCGCGCCCCCAGCCACAGCCACAGCCCGCAGGGCAGCAACAGCGACGCCACCAGGCCGGCCACCCTCACGAACGCCTCGGCGCTCGCGCCGCGCGCCAGCAGGGCCCTGCGGGCCCGCGGTGTCAGCGCCACGCAGGCACCCGGCGCCGCGGCGAAGGGCAGCAGCTGCCGCAGCAGCTGGGGGCACCAAATACTCGCCATCGCTCGGACGTCCATTCCCTGTGTTTTTTGTCGGTTTCGTGCGTGGCTTTTTCGCCACATGATCAAGGATGCTCCTCGATGGTCCTCGCCGAAAAATAAATGCACACGTCCGAGCGATGCCAGGCAAAAGGCACCGATACCGCTGCTCCCCACACCTCTCCCGTGGCGCGTTCTGACCGTAACTTCGAGGAGCATCCGGCCTTGGCGACGAGTCGAGCTCTCCAGGACGAGCAGCGGCATCGGCATCGCTTCTCCGTCCGGCGCGACCTGCGAGGCGAGCCGCCCTGCCCACGGCGCCCGCGCGGCGGCCCCTCCGCGCGTGCCGGGCGCCGCGGGCGCCCGCAGCCGCAGCCTCGCCGCGGGCAGGAGCAGCGCAGCGGCCGCCGCCAGGTGCGCCAGCTCGTGGAGCAGCAGCGCCACGGCGCGGGCCGCCCGCAGGGCGAGCTCGAAGAGGAGGGCCTCCGATGGGGGCCCTGGGGCACACCAAGAAATGGACACAAAGAGCAGGATTCCCACGTGTCCCCCTATTTCCTGGGTCTACGTCTTCCACCCCGCTGCCCATGTCTTCCCATATTTTCCTGGCCGTCGACGATTCACTGTGTCTGTGTGCTCTTTCCCCTCCCACGCCTCGGCGGCTGGCGTCGGCCCCGCGCCCCACGCCTGCGCGGAGCCGCTGTTGGCGGCGCGGGTCAGCGCCCAGCCTGCTGGGCAGGCCGGCAGCGGCGGCGGCGGCGCAGACGGCGGCGTGGTCTCGGAGGTTTCTGGAGGTTTTTCGGGCCGCCGCTGCGGGACGCGGCTCGAGAAACTGGCGGGGGTGGGCCCCGCGAGGGTTCCGAGGGCCGATTTTGGGCGAGGACGGGGGCAGCATCAGGGGACAGGAAAATACACAAACCTCGCGAACAGGGCTGAACCCAACCGGTGTTTTTCGCTTTCGTTTTGTTTTCGTTTTCCCTCGCTTTTGTCTCGAATCCGCCTTTACCGCAAAACGACATCGAAACGTAAACGGCCCACGAAATCGCCGAAAACACCGTTTAGGTCCAGCCCTGCTCGTGAACCGCCATTCGGGCATGTTCGGGCGAGAAGGAGACCTGGAGGGGAGGGGTTGAGGAGCTGCGTCGGTTTGCCACTGGCTCCGCGTCGGACCTGAAATTTGGTAGCTACCTACCTGTCTATCGAACCATGTACTTGTCCTGTTAATCCCACCAGCCCTCTGGGCATAGGTGATCTAGCGCGCTTCCGTTTCCAACCTCCCTCTTCCCATTCGAAGAGGGGCCTACCCCTCCGCCTATCCTCTCCCCTGGGTATGAACGGGCCGGCCAGGGCGTCCAAGAAAGCTCAAGGTGGCTACAACATGGCCTCAGGGATGACTTCCGAGATAACACAAGGTAGAGAAACATTATTCAAGATAGCATCCCGCACACATCCAAGTGGGCCCAAGAGCGCTCCCAGACAGCTCCAAGTGGCCGCAGAGCTTTCCCATGATTCCCCAGAGAGCAAATATCGTTCCAATATTAAAGGGGAGCACATGTTTTTATGCCTTCTCGCACTTTCGGTTCCGATGAGCTTCTGAAGCCTCAAGATGGCTCGCAGGTGGCCGAAAAGAGCGCCAGGAGGTGCCCGAGAGGGCTCCAAGACGGCCCAAAAGAGCGCCAAGAGCGCCTCAAGAGCGCCCAAGGAGGCGAGTCTTCTTGTTCAAGAGGGGCAACCCAAATAGGAGACCCCCATTCTATGATCGACGTCTTCCAACGTGACCTCCATAGGGCCCCAATTTTTCCCCGACAGGCCTTTCTGGTTTACTCCCGTCGTCGTCGCTTTCCTTGTCCTCCTCCTCCTCCTTTCTCCTCCTTCTCCTCCTCCTCCTCCTCCTCCTCATCGTCATCGTCATCCTCATCCTCATCCTCCTCCTCCTCCTCCTCCTCCTCTCCTCCATCATCATCATCATCATCATCATCATCATCATCATCATCATCATCATCATCATCATCATCATCATCATCACCACCACCACCACCACCACCACCACCACCACCACCACCACCACCATCATCATCATCATCATCATCATCATCATCATCATCATCATCATCATCATCATCATCATCATCATCATCATCATCATCATCATCATCATCATCATCATCATCATCATCATCATCATCATCATCATCATCATCATCTTCATTATCATCAACATCAGCGCCATCGCCATCGCCATCGTCACCATCACCACCATCATCAACAACACTATCATCCCTATACCACTACTCCCATCATCATCATCATCATCATCACCAGCAGCATCATCAACAACATAGCCATCACCATAGCCATCATAATCATCATCACCACCATCATCATAATAACCAGCATAGTCATAATCAGCACCATTTCAACCATCATCCTCATCATCGTCATCGTCATCATCATCATCATCACCGCCAACTCCATCATCATCAGTAACATCATCATCAACAACAATATCATCATCCCATATCCTTCTGCCTCCTCCTCCCGCCCTCCCCCATCCCACTTCTCCTGCTTCTCCACATGATCCTCCTTCTTCGACGGAAGGCTCACCAATGTATGCTCCAGCTGAGTCCGAACTTTGGCTTGACGGCTAGTCCACATGTCGATCACACTGGATGTTCTCCCTCCCCTGATCAAAACAATTAACAAGGCTATCGTTTCTGGATGGGCTGGTGGGGATATTTTTTTGGTCGCGGCCGCAAGCGAGAGCGCAAACGGCGAGTCGTAAGTCCGGGGCGCGGGCCTACTAATTGACAACAGGAGCAAACTAGAGGCTGGTGGGGATACGCAAAATGTCAAGAATTAGTGTTGCGGTTGTCCCGTGAGTTGTCCCTTGGGTGGTCTCGCGGTTGTTCCGTGGGTTGCCCCGTATGCTGTCCCGTGCAATGTCCAGTGCGTTGTCCCGTGGGTTGTGCTGTGATTGTCCTGTGGGTTGCCTCATGGGTTGTCCCGTGGTTGTCCCGTTTGTTGCCCCATAAAATATACAAAATTGACCGGTTTCAGTATATAAGGTAGCTACCGATAGGACCACCCTTCGGGTGATAAGGAAGTTGGGGGGAAGGGGGAAACGGTCGATTTGCAATGAGCCTCGCCTACTGCCAACAAACAATGCATGAACAATACCACATATGCCCGCTTGCTTTTATCAGCCTAATCCATCGATGTGTGAATATAGATTTCTGTATAATTATATAGACATATATGTTTAGAGATATATGTACATGTATATACCTATAGATTAGTAAATATATGTTTGCCGAGTCGATTCCTTGAGTTGTTCATATATCTCCCCATATATATATATATATATCTACCGCGGGGATGGTTGGCGCAAGGACGTGGCATGTAATTGTTCGCGCAGCACTTGGTGGCGGCAAGCGCCGTAGATCGCATTCATTTGCTTCTACCCGCGTTGTTGCACAGGTAGCGGCAGCATGTCGCTTTTATGCGCCTGCCCCGTACTGTAAGCAGCAAGCGGAAGTACGTGGCATCTTTTTGCCCGCCCATTGTGTGTTCCTTCTTTCGTGTTTGGCTGCCGCGTGGCCGCGCGCACCTGCCTATCTACCCAGCGGCCCAGCTAGTTCCCTACCTAGGCTCTGCCTAGAAGGGTTCTTAGTCTCTAGCTTAAAGGGGCCGGGCAGTGGAAAGCGCCCCGGGCGGTTCCCCCAGTCCCCGCCCCGCGGTTCCCCCAGTCCCCTGGGAGCTTTAACTTTAGC